TTGTCCCTTGCGTGTGCATGCGCCTCTTCGGCTTCGTTTCGCGCCCCGTTCGATGCCCCGCTTCTTGACCTTCGCCAGGGAGCCGCCAACAAAAAAAGGTAGCCCCACCAGCCCTGCGCGCGCACTAGGCAATTAGTTCTGCTCGTAGCCCGAGCCGACCTGTGACCCCGCCGGCGCCTTCGCCTGCGGTTGCGAAAAAAAAGTAGCCCCACCAGCCCATCAAGGCACGATGCCCAGACGAGTTGCCCTGCTCAGGCCTGCGGAGGAGCATGCAGTGGAATAGAAGTCAGCGGAAACCGTCATAACTCAAAAGTGGGAGGATGGAGGAGGACTCGGAGGAGAAGGATATGTAGGTAGAAGGGAGAGGGGAAGGAGGGCGGAGGGAGCAGGAGGAGGAGAAACAGGAGGAGGAATAGGTCCTTGGCGAATGAGGAAGAGGATGGCGATGATAATGCTGATGGTGATGATGATGACGATGATGGTGATGACGATATTGCTCCTGATGTTGATGATGCTGCTGATGATGATGATGTTGATGGTGCTGATGCTGCTGATGATGATGATGCTGTTGCTGCTTATAATGGCGACGCTGCTGCTGATGATGATGATGCTGATGACGATGTTCATGATGATGGCGATGATGAGTATGATGTTGATGATGATCATGCTGCTGCTGACGATGTTGATGATGATGCATTTGCTGATTCTGATGCTGAGGACGATGCTTGCGACGACGATGATGATGCTGATGTCGATGAGGGCGACGATGATGATGCGGATGATGATGATGATGGTGCTGCTGCTATTGATGATTCGCTGATGCTGATGATGATCAGGATGATGATCATGATGCTGATTCTGATGACGATGATGATTACGATGACGATGATTACGATGTCGATGACGATTATGATGGTGATGCTGATGCTGCTGATGATGATACCAACCACGATGCTGATGATGATTGGGATTCTGATTTTGATGATGATGCTGATGCTGACGATGATGCTGATGATGATGATGATGTTGCTTCTGCTGATGCTCATGCGGATGCTGATGATGATGCTGATGATGTTGATGATGTTGCCTATGCTGATGCGCTGATGCTGACGCTGCTGCTGATGAGGGTGATGATGACGATGATGATGGTGATGCTGATCATGATGGTGGTGGTGATGTTGATCATGACGCTGATGGTGAAAATGCTGATGATGGTAACAATGCCGGTGATGATGATGATGATGATGATGATGATGATGATGATGATGATGACGATGATGATGATGATGATGATGCTGATGATGATGATGATGATGGTGGTGGTGGTGGCGGTGGTGATGATGATGCTGACACTGATGATGATGCTGACACTGATGATGATGATGCTGCTGATGATGATGATATAATGCTGCTGCTGATGCTGACGATTGCGGTGGTGGTGATTGTGCGGTTGTGGCGGTGGTGGTGTTGTGGTTGGTGTTGTTGTTGGTGGTGGTGGTGGTGATGCTGATGATGCTGCTGCTGATGATGAGGATGATAATGATCAGGATGAGGATGATGATGATGATGATGATGATGATGATGATGATGATGATGATGATCATGATGATGATGCTGGTGATGATGACGATGATGATGATGATGATGTGATGATGATGATGATGCTGGTGATGATGATGCTGATGATGATGAATGATGATGATGATCTGATGATGATGATGATGATGATGATGATGATGACGATGATGATGATGATGATGATGCTGATGATGATGATGCTGATGATGATGATGATGATGATGATGATGATGATGATGCTGATGATGATGATGATGATGATGATGATGATGATGATGATGATGATGATGATGATGATGATGATGATGATGATGATGATGATGATGATGATGATGATGATGATGATGATGATGATGATGATGATGATGATGATGATGATGATGATGATGATGATGATGATGATGATGATGATGATGATGATGATGACGATGGTGATGATGCTGATGATGATGGTATTGATGGTGGTGGTGATGGTGGTGGTGGTGGTGGTGGTGGTGGTGATGCTGATGATAAGGAGGAGGAGGAGGAGGAGGAGGAGGAGGAGGAGGAGGAGGAGGAGGAACGTCTTGGGGTCCTGGCGGTCTGGGGGGCCTCTCAGGGCGTCTTGGGTGCCTTGGGATAGCCTCTTGGGGCCTCTTGGGGCTCTCTTGGGAGCCTCTTGGATGCCTCTTGGATGCCTCTCGGGGCTTCCTGGGCGCGTCTTGGGTTCCTCTTGTGGTAGTCATGGAGGCTCTGGGGGCCATATTGGGGCCATCTTGGGGGAGTTCGATCATGAAAGGGGGGGTCCCAAGTAGGGTCTCCCCAGGAGACCAACATAGGCCCAGCACTTCAGGACAATCGCTGATTTTTGCTTTTCACCGAGGCTATGTTGGACGCTCCACTGGGTCGCGAACCCCCCCGCCCAGGTCCAGGGTAGGGGGTAGGGGGAAGGGGCAAGCTACCACCCACCCGCCCGCAAGCCGTCTAGCTCACTCCCACCCGCCCTCCCAGCACATAAGTAACACCCGAGCCTGAGCATGTTCAGCGGTCGTCTTTGGATGGGCAGCTACTGGGAACCAAAGCCGACCCCATGTGCGCGACGCTGGGGCGAGGTGCGTCACGCGTGCCGGGGGCGCCACGCGCGCCAGGCACCCCTGGGGCCCGAGCGTGCCAGGCACGCCTGGTGCGCCAGGTGCGCCATGTGCTCCGCGTGCGCCAGGTGTGCCGCATATTCCAGCCGCGCCAGGTGCGCCATATTAGGGGCACGTGCAGAGTGCGTCAGGTTCGCCAGATTTAGCCGCGAGGTGCATTTTGTATTGTGACTCGTTAGGGATGGTAGCCCTGCGCACAGCAGGGAACATGCTATGCTGACACTCCTGCCGCCCCTGTCAGAAACAATACAAAGTGCTCGCGGGCCTCACGAACATGACTCACGACTTTGCCCCAACGTGTACTTCGCATTGTTTTTTGGCAGGGATGGTGGGGGGGGCCGCATCGGGTTGGCCGCGCATGCTCCAAATGTGGAGGCAGAGTGCGGTTTGTAGGGTTTTGTTGACAGGGGTGGTGTGGGGGGGTGCCCGCATGGAGTCGGCATGGTTGCGGGTTGGCCGCCGGTTGGGTGGGGGAGGGGGTGTATATTAACCAGGAACAGTGATAAAGATAGCAAGCTGTCTAGCTCACTCCCACCCGCCCTCCCAGCACATAAGTAACACCCGAGCCTGAGCATTTTCAGTGGTCGTCTTTGGATGGGCAGCTACTGGGAACCAACACCGGCCCCATATGCGCGACGCTGGGGCGAGGTGCGCCACGCGTGCCAGGTGCGCCACACGCGTCAGGCACCCCTGCGGCCCGAGCGTGCCAGGCACGCCTGGTGCGCCAGATGCGCCATGTGCTCCGCGTGCGCCAGGTGTGCCGCATACTCCAGCCGCGCCAGGTGCGCCACGTTCGGGGCACGTGCAGAGTGCGTCAGGTTCGCCTGCGCACGTGACAGCTCACATCGGGAAACATGTCGGCCCCCACCATGTTCGTCGAAAACCAACGCCCATCATTGTACCTAGTGGGCCTGCGCACAGCAAGCCATACGCCACCACCTCCGCCGTCCCTGTCAAAAACCACTATTGTGGGGTGGCCGCGCATGATCCAGATTTAGCCGCGAGGTGCATTTTGTATTGCTACTCGTTAGGAATGGTAGCCCTGTGCACAGCAGGCAATGTGCTGACACCCCCGCCGTCCCTGTCAAAAGCAATGCAAAGTGCTCGCGGGCCTCATGAACATGATTCAAGACTCTGCCCGGTGGGGAGTCCGCATCGGGTTGGCCGCGCACGCTCCAAATGTGGAGGCAGAGTGCGGTTTGTATTGCTTTGTTGACAGGGATGATGCGGGGGGGGGTGCCCGCATGGTGTCCTCATGGTTCCTGGTTGGCTGCCGGTCGCCTCGCGGAGGGGGTTTATGTTAATGGGGAACAGTGGTAAACCCGTCACCGAAGGAAGAAGGGGGGTTGGAAGAGGAAGTGCCCTGACCACTCACGCCCTACAGGGCCTTGTTCGGATTCCCCTCTTCTCGCTCCTCATGTTCTGCTCCATCGCGGCCGCCATCTTCCTTGATTCACCCTCTTCCGCTTTCTCTTTCTCCTCCTCGTCCTCCTTTTACTCCTCTTCCGCGTCTTCGTCCCCCCTCCTTCCAACCTGCCTTCCTTGCTTCCTCCTTCCTCGTCCTCGGACCTGCCTCTTTGGAGACAGGCCAATCCACGATCTATGCTCCTCCTCCCTCGTCGCTGCCGTCTCTTCTTCTCCATCCTCCCTGCTCCTTTTTCTCCTGCTCCTCCTCCTGCTCCTCCTGCTCGCCATCTTCAACGTCAATCCTCTTCCCGCCTCCGCCTCCTCGCCCCCCTCCTGCCCCTTCTCGCCCTCACCTTCATTCCTGCCTGTCCTCCTTCAACCCTCCTCTGGCGTTGCGGAAGCGCTGCTGCCTCTGCGACTTGCAGCAGGCTTCGAATCGAGGTGCTCCCGCGTCTCGGGTTACCGCATCCCTCATATTGGCGTTGGTGGGCGTCTCGCCTGACGCGCAGGAGTTTCCTTCGCCCCGCCCCCTGCTCAGAGGGCGGCTTTGAAGCCGCGCCCTCGCTAGCACGCGCGCGCTTCCTACTGTGCATCTTGTGGCCATCCTGGCATGCGTCGGTACCGGGGTCACCCAGAGCGGGGGCCAACTCTCCCCTCTGACTCTTCACTCCTCCATTCCCCCCCACTCCCCTTCCCTCCCCTCCCCTCCCCTCCCTTCATCCCCTTCCTCTCTCCTCCCGTCCCTTCCTCCCCTCGTCTCCTCTCCCTCTCCTCCCCTCCCTTCCTTTCCTTCTCCCCCCCTCGCAACCCCCGCCCTCTCCCACTGGCCGTCTCGACGGCTCGACGGCATTCGGCCGGGAGAGAGGGTCCCAAACCATCCGCCAGGGCAAGCACATGGAAGTGCTGGGCAGCTACGCTCCCAAGGTCGCAGCGCGCGCAGGGCAACCCTTCGGCAGTAATGCACCAGCACGCCTCGATCATCACCCCCTTCTCTTCCTCTCTCTCTGTCTCTCTCTCTCTCTCTCTCTTTTTTTTTTTTCCTTCTTTCTTTCTCTCTCTCTCACAATTTATATATAGATATGAAAGAGCGCGCTCGTGGCACACTTCTCACTGAAAGGGGGGCCCCAGCTTCAAGCTCCCCTCCCCTCCCTTGGAAACGAGGGGGGTTGAAGTTTTCCTTTCTTCTCCCCTTGCCGTTGGCTTTTTGAAACTGGGGGGGGGCCCTAGCTAGGAGGGTCCCTGGCTAACGAGGGCGGGCTTGGAAGCTTGCCCCCCCTCCCCTCCATTTCGGGGCCTGGGGTAAGCCGGGGCTCCCCTTTCAAGAGGGAGGGGGCTTCCGAAGCTACCCCCCTCCCCTCCTTGTGTTGGCTTTTCCAGCTGGAGGGCCCTGGCTGACGGGGGGGGTTCGAAGCTACTTTGCTTCTTTGGTTTTTGGCGCCCCGTTGGCTTTCAGCGTACTTGTGGGTTTCGGCGTCTCTTTGGTTTTCGGCGCCTCTATGATTTTCGGCGCCCCTTGGGCCTTTGCTGCCCCTTTGGTTTTCGGCGCCCCTTTGGTTTTCGGCGCGCCCTTCCTGTGGTTTTCGGCGCTCTTTTGGTTTTTTAGTGCCCCTTTTGGTTTTCTGCGCGCCCTTTCGTTTTCGGCGTTCTCTCGGTTTTCGGCGCCCTCTTGGGTTCCAGCGCCCCTTTGGTTTTCGGCGCCCTCTTGGTTTTCGGCGTTCTTTTGTTTTTCGGCGCCGCTTTAGTTTTCGGCGCCCTTTTAGTTTTCGGCGCACTTCGGTTTTCGGCGCATTTTTGGTTTTCGGCGCCATTCGGCTTTCGGTGCGCCTTTAGTTTTTGGCGCCCGTTTTGTTTTCGACGCCCATGTGGTTCTATGCGCGCGTCTTTGGTTTTTCGGCGCCCTTTGGTTTTCAGCACCCTTTTCGTTTAGGGCGCCACTTGGATTTTTGGCGCCTCTTTGGTTTTCGGCGTCCCTTTGGTTTTCGGCGCTCCTGCGGTTTTCAGCGCCTCTTTCGTTGCCCTGTCTGTCTTCGGAGCTTCTGTTGTTTTCGGCGCCCCTTGAGTTTTTCTGCGCCCGTTTGGTTTTCGGTGCATCCTTGGTTTCCAGCGCCCCTGTGGCCTTTGATTTTCGGCGCGCCTTTTTCTTTTCGGCGCGCCTGGGGTGTGCGGCGCCCCTTTGATTTTCGGCGCCCCTTCGGTTTTCGGCGCCCCTTTGGTTATCGGTGTCCTCCGGGTTCTCGGCGCTCTTTTGGTTTCCGGCGCATTTTTGGTTTTCGGCGCATCGTTGGTTTCCGCCGCCTCTTTAGTTTTCGGCGCGCCTTTTAGTTTTCGGCGCACTTTTGGTTTTCCGTATCCCTCTGGTTTTCGGCGTTCTTCTGGTTTCTGGCGCATTTTTGATTTTCGGCGTTCCTTTTCGTGTTCGTCGTTTTTTGGTTTTCGTCCATCTTTTGGTTTTCTGCGCCCTGTTGGTTTTCGGCGCCCTTTCGCGCCCTTGTGGTTTTCGGCGCCCGTTTGGTTTTCGGCGCTCCTTTGGTTTTCGCACCATTTCGATTTTCGGGGCCCTTTTGGTTTTCGGCGGCCCCTTTGTTTTCGGCATCGTCTTGGTTTTCAGGGCCCTTTTGATGTTTGGCGACCCTTTGGTTGTCGGCGCCCTATTGGTTTTCGGCGCCCTTGTGGTTTCCGGTGTCCTTTTCAAGTTCGACGCCCTCTTGGTTTTCGGCGCCCTTTTGGGTTTCGGTGCTCTTTGATTTTGGGCACCCTTTCGGTTTTCGACGCTGCTACGGTTTTCGGCGCTTTTTGGTTTTCGGCGCCTCTTTGGTTTTCGGCGCCCAGCTGGTTTTCGGACGGAGCCCTTTTTGGTTTCGGCGTCCTTTTGGTTTTCGACGTTCGTTCGGTTTTCGGCGCTTCTTTGGTTTTCGGCGCTTCTTTGATTTTCGGCTCCCTTTTGGTTGTCGGTGCCCTTTTGGTTGTCGGTGCCCCTTTTGGTTTTCGGCGCTACTTTGGTTTTCGGCGCTCCTTTGGTTTGCGGCGCCCTTTTGGTGTTCGGCGCACCTTCGGTTTTCGGCGCCCTTTCGGTTTTTTCGGCGTTCTTTTGGTTTTCGGCGCGCCTCTGGTTTTCGCAGCCTTTCGGTTTTCGGTGCCCTTTTAGTTTTCGGCGCTCTGTTGGTTGTCGGCGCTCTTCCTTTAGCCAGGGGGGGGGGCTTTCAAGCCCCCTCCCCCCTTTAGACAAGAAGGGGGGCGGGGGCTTCGGGCAGGGGGCTTCAAAGGGGGAGTAGCTAAGCGCCCCTCCCCCCCTTGGAAAGGGAGGGGGGGGGTAGCTTCAGAGCGCGAAATGAGGGGGGAGGGGGGGGATAGCTTCCGAGGGGCGGAACAAAAACGAGGGGGGAGGCTTCAGGCAGGGGAGGTTCAAAGGGGGGGGTAGATAAGCCCCCCCTTTTGGAAAGGGAGGGGGGGCAGCTTCCAGAGCGTGACTCGGAGGCCGCCGCCTCCAACCCCCCATGGGAGGACGGGGCGGCCGGGGAGGTCCAAAATAGTCCAGGAGGGCATCCAGAGGCTCCCAAGACGGCCCAAGCGGGCCCCGAGTCGCCGAAATACCGCTCCAGGACGCCCAAGATAGGCTCAAGACGGCCCGAGAGGCCCCCCAAGGCACTCCACGACGCTTCAAGACGCCTCTCCCAAGCGCTTCAAGAGGCCGAAATCGTTTATTTTACGAAGGTTTTGGACACATTTTGCTTTTCCCGCCTTCTCAGCTTTCCGACGCTCTACGACGGCTCAAAGGCCCCCCGCGGACGCCCCAGGAGAGCCCAAGAGGCCTCCAAGAGGGGCTCAAGACGGCTCTGGAGGGCCCCCAAACGGCCCAAAACGCGCTCAAGACGGGCGAAGAGAGCCCCAAGACGGCCCATGCGGGCCCCGAGTCGCCGAAAGACCGCTCCAGGACGCCCAAGATAGGCCCAAGACGGCCCGAGAGGCCCCCCAAGGCACTCCACGACGCTTCAAGACGCATCTCCAGAGCGCTTCCAGATGCCGAAATCGTCAATTTTACAAAGGTTTTCGAACGATTTTGGCCTTCCAGCCTTTTCGGCTGTCCGACGTTCCAAGACGGCTCAGTAGGCCCCCAGGAGCGCCCCAAGACGGCCCAAGAGGGCCCCAAGAGGGCCCCAGAGTCGCCCAAGACAGCCCACCAGAGCCCCAAGACGGCCCCAAGATGCGCCCAAGACGGGGACCAGGACTCCAAGATTCGACCAACCGGCTTGAAGAGTGCCCCAGGAGGCCCCAAGGAGCTCCCAAGAGGCCCCAGGATGCCCCCAAGAGGCACCCAGGAGGCCCAAACGAGGCCTAAAGAGGCCACAAAACAGCCCCGAGGAGACCCCACAGCGGTGCCATAATGGCTACCGAGACGGCAAGGAGGAGGAGGAGGAGGAGGAGGAGGAGGAGGAGGAGGAGGAGGAGGAGGAGGAGGAGGACAAGGACCAGTGTACATCCAAGAGCCATCAACCATGTTGCAATGAACGCTCCCGCCTAGCTTCCTCTTCGTAGGCTCCTACGGGAATTATTTGTTCATTTCGGGAAGTGCTCCATTTGACGGCAACTGTCCGAGAATCCTCAATCGTGACAAGACGCCGTTCCTGGGACTTCAGCGCAGCGAAGCAACATGACGGTTGCGCCCTGGCATTCCTAAACCACGCCGGAAGGTCGTTCCTGGAACCTCAACGCCGCGAATCCGCTTTATTGCTGCGCCCTGACGCTCGTAAACCCTGCCAGCACACCATGCCTCGGACGTCAACCAAACGAATCCCCCAAACGGTGGCAAACCTTTCAGACGACTGGGCGCGGCGCCAGGGCGCCTACCACGTGTTGAAGAGGAGCCGCCCTCGGTCCTGCCAGCGGCTGCAAACACCGACATCGGAAAGCACGCGGCGCTGGGGCGATAGTCACGTTTTGAAATCAAACAGCCGCCCCTCCATCCTTGAAGCTGCTGCGACTTGTCGATGATGCTCCGACCGATCCGCCTGCCCCTCTTCTGTGCGAGCTCGCGTTCACAATCGGGGAAGTCCGCGCTAGAACCTAAGCGCGCGCGAAGCGCGCGCGTGGTTCTAGCATATATATAATATAAACAAATAGGCCCCCCCCCCCCGGCGGGGCCGCCCACTCCGCAACCATCGGGGAACGCTTTTTAATACCCCCTCCCCGGGGCCTCCAAGGAGCCTCCAAGGAGCCTCCAGACGACCCAAGAGGCCTCCAAGACGGCCCCAGGAGGCCCCCAGGATGGTCCAAGAGGGCCCCGAGGCGGTCCCAGATCGCTCCAAGACGCCCAAGATGGTCCCATGACGGCCCAAGGGGCCTCCAAGACGCCCCAAGAGGCCTCCAAGAGGCTCTCCAAGAGGGCCCCAAGAGGCTCGAATCGTTGATTTTCCATTGTGTTTTTCGATGTTTTTGGCTTTCTCTCCTTTTGGGCTCCCTGGCGCTCCAAGACGGCCAAGAGGCACCCAAGATCGCCCCAAGACGGCCCAAGAGGCCACCAAGACGGCCCCAAGACGGCCCAAGAGCGCCCCGGGACCGCTTAAGAGGCCTCGAAGACGGCCCAAGAGAGTCCCAACACGGCTCCAAGAAGGGGCCCAGACGCGGGATCCGAGCGCACTTTACGGGCCCTCGGCCCCAAGAGCATCCCCAGAAACCACTAGAGGCTCCCAAAGGCCCCCAAGAGCCCCCCGGGAGGCCCCCAAGAGCCCCCGAGCAGGCACCGAAACGAGCCCCATGCGATTTCGGACACTTTCATATGCACCCCTTCTTCCTTCCGATCCGTTCCGTTGAGCTGCCTGCATTGAGTAGCATGTGCATTGCATTTCAATTCAACAATAATGCTGTGAATCGCGCTGCATTTGCAACGTTTGGCGTTTGTTTTACTACTCGCATTGGTCTGCATGGCG